TGCTGGGTTGCTGGATCTCGGGTCTCATATTTCCAACAGGGAGAATGAAAGATTAGTTACTACGACAATATGGCAGAGAGACACAACAATGGCAAGGTGGATGCCCCCCTCGAAGTCCACTCCAAAGTGGGCACCACCCATGACGCTCGAGAAACTTCTGTTTCCTCAGTTCCCCGACCCTCTTACCGCAAAACGGCGAACCCGGGTCCCCTGGGTCTTCTCGGCTTTGCCATTACAACGTTTGTGATGGGTCTGTATCAATGCGGAGCTGGGTAAGTTCCACAGACACTATTAGTTACTGCATCGAGTCCATTATTGATGTCCTATCCAGCCTCCCGGGCTCCGATCCCTTTGGGTCTGTTGGCCCAGACCAAGCAGTCTTTGGCTTAGCCGTATTCTTCGGTGGTGGAGCACAGATCATCGCAGGCATCATGGAATTTGTTGCTGGTAACACTTTCGGCACAACGGTCCACCTCTCATATGGGTCGTTTTGGCTTGGCTTTGCGATGTTTCTGGTTCCTTCTCTCGATATCAAGGGTGCCTATGCCGGCAATGAGCGTGCCTTCTCATTCGCCCTGGGGATCTACTTGCTCTTCTGGTGCATTCTGACGATAATGTTCCTAGTCGCCTCGTTGAGGACTAACCTCACAGTCATCGCCGTTTTCGCCCTTCTTGTACTCGCATACTTTTTCCTCTCAATTGCCCAGTTCATTAAGACCAGTCATCCGGATAGCGCCTCGCGAGTAAACAAAGCTGGAGGTGGCTTTGCCTTTATATGTGCCCTTGCAGCCTTCTATGCGGGTGCATCTGGATTGATGGTCCCGGAAACAACATTCGTTCGACTCCCCTTGGGAATAGTATCACGACGCGAAGAGGTGGTGTCAACGATATAATTATGCATCGCTGGATTGCCTCCGGTGGATTGAGTCTTATTCTGTCCGAGAATTGCATCATCTCCTCACGTTCGTATTGGTTTGACCGCTACTATAATGACCTTGGCAATGGTTGGAACTGGAATTTTTGAATTCAATCTGTTAAGTTTTTCTCAAAGAAACTGTTATTTGCCGTCTAAATTTCTTGACTTTGTCTTCAGGGGTTGGATACTGAGGCTTCCCCTCCTTTTTAGCCTTTTAATGTATTTATCCACTTACTCTTTGACTAAAGGGAAACAATAATACCCCTTTTGTAGTCTTTATACCCATTTTTCGCAGGCGTCTGTTTCTCTGCGTGTTTCTTTTGCGTGTAAATTACTTTTCCAAGTTCAACCCTCTCGTGGACATAAATTTTATGTGTTCCCCAAACCGCCCGAATTGAACACATCAAAAACACATATTATAGAACAGATGGAAATTGGTTCTATGATTGCAATACTGTAAGCAGACTATGCCGTATTATTTGGTTTATGTCTCAGACTTTGAAGGATTTAGAATTTTGAGCGTTGTTGAGAAGGAACGAAATTGAGTTCAACATCTGGATCCCAATATAGTTAGTTACCGTTAACTAACTTAAATGTTGGCCACATCGGCGAGCTGGATCATAACCAGAGTGCAGATGGCGTTTTTTACCCCAGTGTTCTAATAGTCCCAACAAATATTGGAGAGAGCCAAAGGCGCAGCGTCTAATAATCAACGGATAGCACAAGAGTCTGATCGCAGACAAAGAGTCAATATATATGATAAGGTCAACTAGGAGCTTTTGACGATCTTTCGAGGCTGGGGTGTTTCAAAATGAAGGGTACAAAATGTTTGTATAAAACTCTTTTCTTATATTAAGACTATCTGAATACCCAAACTCATGAAATATTCCTTACGAAAGCTATCAAATCCTTTTGACCGTGGCCTTCACAGACATAAAATTATAATATCAGGTGCCAAGTACAGGGTCCATTTTGAGAGGAGGAAATATATGAGCCGCTCATAGTGCTCATGTAATCAACTGGGTTTTATCTTGATGATAAAAGCAGCTTACTGCAGAAATATGGTAGATTACTACCCCAAGTAGTTGAGGTTAATAATAGAAAGGCTTGACGATTGACCAACACTTGGTGTTTTCTCATGAAAGGATGAATGTTGAATGCATATGGACAGTGTTGGAAAAGTCTACCAACAATTGCTAAATCACGAACATCGGGGAAAATAAACAAGAGACTAAAACCCCATCCAATAAACCGTTACATATGCCTCAAGTGAACCTCGTCAGGGTATATCTCGCCTAAAAAAATGAAAGAAGGGGAAAAGCTATCAGAATACATATCTAGAACATGTGCAATATACTGTACAATAAAGAAGTGTAACGCATATGCCTGCATTGGCTATTCCAACAGAGCAGCTGTGCGCTCGAGTTGACTGTTAAAGCGTCTGATTTGATTCAAGATACCGCCATCGTATCCTGATGCGGTGGAACTGACATCCTGCGCGACTGTGCGAATAAGAAAATCAAGGCCAACAGCCGGGTCCACGATTTGCTCGTCGTCAAATTTGTCACTACGGTCTATCGCAAGGTGAAGGTCGTACAGGGAATTATTAAGATTGTCATGCTCCTTAATGAACGGAGGTTAGCTAAAGAGAACCTGTATACTCAATCTCGCAGAAAAGAAAACGAGGTAAAAAAGGTATATGTGCATACCGTTTTTATCCGTTCATCCTCTGTATACTTCCTCCGTACCTCGTCGATACGCAGCGCAACTTTGCCCCTCTCTTTCCGCAACTCCACTAAACGATTCCTAAGATAAGCTATATCCTTCTTCTGCTTCTTGAGGCGAGCGGATAGCACGAAGTTGCTGTCCAGAAGTTCACTCATTTCAAAAAGTCGCTGTTCAAGCTCAATGCCAAACAGTTCAACAGCCTTTCGCTTACGCATCCACTCCGCTCGCCGCGGCGCATTCGACTCCTGCGCGATGCCGTTTTCAAGGGTTGAGATTGTCTTTTCGAGAGTTTCGCGGCAGATCTGGCCCAGGACGTCTGCTGGATTGACTTCGCTACGACTTGGATATTTTTGACCACCAGATTGGTCGTCCGGTTGAGTAGCTTCAATTGAGGGATCTTCTGCATCGCTTGAAATATACTGGAGAGCTGAAACATTTGCGAAACGGTGGACGATAATAGGAACGGTTTCTCCGCGAGATTTTGGCTCACCATCGGCCCCCGTGTTCGCTTCCTCTGCGGGTCTCCATATTTTGAGTTGTTTCTTCTGGGATGGTCTCGACTGGGCACGGTCCACATCTGCATTTTCTTCCGCATCTTCTCGATCTTCTTGTTGCCGTGACTGCTGGAGGCCTTTGGCTGAACGACTGTGTATTCGTTTTGATTTCTTCGTTGGTTGGGGTGAAGTGGAGTGTTCGTGTGAATGCTCCTCGTTTCCTCTCCCTGCATGGTTCACATTTGGTTCTTCTGAGCCATGATTCTGCTCCTCAATTTGTTGCCCATGAGTTTCATTGTGAAAAGGAGGAACGCGACACTCGTGTTTAGTGGGCATTTTTTGAATATATTTCCTCTTTTTCGGCTTGCGCTTAGGTGGCCTGGTAAACCCTTCAGTCGGTTCTTCCGCATCTCTTAATTCCACATCATTGTTTTGTAGCTCTGTCTCCGGTTCCTGTTCGGGTTCATGTGCAGGTGCATGCTCGAGCCCTTGCTCTGGTTCTTGCTCTAGTTCTGGCCCTGATCCTGATCCAAGTGGAGGTTCGGGTTCAGGTTGGGGCTCTTGCTGGGGCTCTTGTCCTGGCTGGCTAACAGTAACGGAGGATCTCTTGGGCTTCTTGGGACCCCGAACAACCGATTTTCTTTTCTTTCGTTTACGTTGAGGGCTTGGCTTAAAGGGTTGGGACCTCCCTTCTTGTAATACACTGGTAGTATGACCGGAGGGCTTTCGAGTTGGTGTTTCAACCTCGTCTTCTAAAGCCTGATGAGATTCATGTTTTCCCGCATCGCGTTGGGCTAAAGGCTCACGAGGTCCGTTCCCAGGTGCCCCTTGACCAGGTTCTCGCGGAACTGTATCCGGTCTGAGTGGTACATCGGGCACAGGTTGCGCGGAGGTTCCTGTCGTGGTAATACCATTTTCATGTACACTCATCCTTCTCAGCACAGCATCCTCCAGAATTGGCTCGAATGCTACAAGTCGCCTTCTTTTATTCTCTCTTCCTTGATCTGGTTCATTATCCGGCGGGATATCAAATACCGATGGGTTACGTGGGCCGGAGTTTCTCCCGCTACACTTGGTGTTTCTGCTAGAAGACGGATTTTGAGATCTGGTGGGGGTTCGTCGGGTTAATTGCGGAGAAGTCAGACGTCTTTGATTTGGTGTTGGACTCGTGCGCGAGGAGGATCTTTGCGGAGGTGGGATGTTGAGCTCTGGCAGTGCTGTTGAAGCTGGCGGGTTTGGGCCTTGTAGTTTGGGAGTACTGAACGAGAAACCAAAACCAAAGTCGACATCTTTAGCTATGCGATTTCTAGACACCCAATTGATGTTATATTAGCCCCTGGGTTTCTTTTCTTTTCTTTTTTCATTTCGTTAGGCAATGGTAAAGGCGTAAATTTGGAGAGCATACCCGGCTCCACGCTGGCGCATCAATCGCCGTTCTTCCCGATCTGTTCAATCCCCAAGTTAGCATTTGACGCTATCCATCTAAGGGGGAGCTAATTCTAATCGTACTTGAAGCCATCACTGCATTTGGGGCTCCCCTGAGTCCCTTGTTGAGAAAGGTGTCCATACGCGATGGTGTTTCGACGCGACAAAGAGAATAATCCATGGATTATCAATGTCATGTGACGTGGGGAAAGTTGGCCAAGAAGAATTGCCGTTATCGGAGCCAAAAAAGACCTCAGAGTGGTCCAAAAGTGAATGATAGAGAGACGACTGGATATATCATTGTGGGAAGAAAGTTGTCCCCGAAATAGAACATACTACCCACCGTTGAATTGCTTCGGACGCCAAACAGTCTGTTGGAAGGTGAAATAACTACAATAACTCAAACTGCTGGATAGTAAAACTCTCCGCCTTTCGTGATGGGTTGGTTTTGGGGCAACCCGGTTGAGAGTGATCCCACCAAGAACCTTGACCCCTCTCTAAAAGACTTCCTGAAGCAAGAAACTCCTTCAGGATATAACCCTACGACCGTCCAACCCCAAGAAGAAAAGAAACAAAGCTACCCCCAACCTGCGGTCGCCAATGAATGCACCACGCCTTCTGATAAACCATCCGTTCCATCCGCTTCTCTTTTCCCCGATGGCCGCTATGCACACCTCTGGAAGGACTATAAATCCGTTGAGATACTGGAGGGATCCAGTGTGTCACCAGCGGAAAGGGTAATTGATCAATCCAAGAAGCGGAAAGAGGCTTTGAACGTGGCGGCGCTGGAGAATTGCGCGGAAGAACAGTTGGATTTGTCAATGTGTTTCAAATCGGGGACAGTAAAAGAACGAGCAACCATGTGCAGTGAGAAGAATTCCAAATTCTCAAGATGTTATATAATGCAGATTGTATGTTCTTCCTTTCTTTGGTGGGTTTTTGGGATCTCCGAAAACTGTCAGATTTACATATGTCATATACAATACTGATGGCTTTTCGACCACAATAGAAATTCCTTCAAGCCCTAGGGTATGCGTCTTCTTTCGAATTTGATTCGGATAAAGAAGAACGTATCCAGTTGCACGCGGATAAACTATTTCACCAGATGCTAGACTATGAACAGCGCATGAAGGAAGCCAAATCTGCTGGCCTGGAACCGCCACCACCGCAATCCCTCTTCAAACCAAATGTCCAATCTATATCTCAATCTGCAGACACTAACTCCAATGCAACAAATTCAACACCGGAAGATGCCTCCAAGTCAACTAACTCAGATCTTGAAATCCCGGGTGGCGAGAAGATCCCCGGCAACACTAAATTCTCAAAGCCACTCAAAGATATGACACCGCATGAAAGGGAGCTTGAGTTGCAGGTATTACATCAAGAGCGGGCTCAGCAGGGGGTGTATATGCAAGAGGTTGGGGGAGTGCTGAAGGCTGAGAATGCAGCCCGTGATAAGCGGCGAGAGAAGCTTAGTGGGTGGTTTGGCGACACAATTGCAAAATATCTTGCTTGATGAGGCTTAAATAAGACAGCGAATCTTTATAATATGCGTCTCTTTGAAGGATACATGCCACAACCAATGAATGAGTATATCCTTCTTCCATGTGTGGAGAGTTGAAATCAGGAGTCACATCCAATATTCTTGCCTCTCCAAATGGAGACAGGATTGACTTCTGTATGGTTCGCGATTAGGTACCTCTTGGTAGTCCTTTTATTTACCTTTTTAGCCATCCAGTAGATTGGACTGATTCTAGCATATTTATCCGTTGCATCAGATGTATAATTATTTTAACCGCAAATTTATCACCTAATTACCGATTTGTGTATATCTTAAAAACAAAACAGAAAAAGGAAAAGAAAAATTCAATTGAGACGTTGCGCTCTCAAGATTTCGGCTCTGGCTCTGATACTTAGAATATACTTCCCATGGGACAAAGACACCCTGGAGCTTGGATGAACGGATCACCAATCCTTCGGCCTCATTTGACATTCGGCTTGACAAATCCATTGGGCGCTTTGGGCCCTATCATCATCTATGAGAAGGTAAAAGGCAGGTGGTCTGTGATAGATCACGCATAGCTGGTTGATAACACAATAAAGATATCAAATGTAACCCGCCTAGCTAGATCGGCAGATTCTAGATGTGAAAACTGGATGTTGACCTATGGGGACGACTTAACTCTTTTCTGTTAGGCTCAGCGCCCGACCGAGCCCGACCGAGGTCCGTTAGACTCGAAGTCGGATTAAGCTCGGCGACCGATTAGGCATAACCCTAATCACGTGATCATGTGACCATGTGTAATCCAGACAGTCCTAGCACCCTCTTTCATCTCATCAAGCTTAGTATTTCATTATATAGCAGTTAGCAATGCAAAGAGTTCTCTTTTTATGCAGCTCACATTCACACTCTAACATAATACTATGCTTTCTTCTATTCTTTCTACGCAGAATTGAGTAGAATTTGCTCAGTAAAAATCTGACAGTATAATAGTTATAAGAGATTGAACCTCTAGATTCACTCTGACTGGCTGACTCAGCCAGCCATCATTTGCACATGCGCACATGATCATGCTATGTGAGCTCATTTAAGCTTGTGTTCTCCTCTCATTCTTTTCTTTCCTTTCTCAAGCAATTCATCCTTGTTATATAGAAGGACTAGTCTCTAGTTCTTAGAGCTTAACTCTTTACATTATGAATTGCTTCACTTCTTTCATTGATAGATCACAGAGAGTCTTAATTCTATATCATAAAGCTCAGCAAACATATTGATATATAATAGACTATTGAGAGCTTTAAATCCTGTGTTGTGAAGTCTAGTAATAGCACTGATATATGAATAGACTGAGTTAGCAATCATGCTAATGAACAAATGAGCAACATTGAAAACATCTAGCTGAATGAGATAAAATGACAGACTTGTACAATGAATACAAAAATGAATCAATGTGAAGCAATGAGCAGAGACACTCTCAGCAGTTTTAAACAACAATGAATGATCTTTCTTCAACAGCAGAAACAGGTTCAGCATGAGAATAGAAATTTAATAACAGCTCAGCAAGCTGAAATAGCTAATCTACATCAAGCTTTGAACATCTCAACATCAATCTTCTCTCAATTGAACTTGTAATCATTCATTGCAGTCAGAAAATCAAAGATCAAACTACTGAACTGCAAGAAGTATGATGATTTTAATCTGAAGCACTACTCTCACTGAGAGCTAAAGCTTCAATCAAATCTTAAAATTGATGAAAAAGCTTTATATAATAATGAGAAATGTATTTGATATATATACTCAAGACTGGAAGAAATGACAGTAGCTGTTAGGCTCAGCGTCCGACCGAGCCCGACCGAAGGCCGGTGCCCGGTTAGACCCGACGTCGGATTAAGCTCGGCGCCCGATTAGGCCTAATCCATATCACGTGACCACACGACCATGCAGGTGGTTATAATCCACGCAGGCCCCAGCACCCCCTTTCATCCCATCAAGCTTAGTATTTCGTTATATAGCAGTTAGCAACGCAGAGAGTTTCCTTCTTATGCAGCTCGCATTCGCTCCCTAACATAATACTAAGCTTCCCTTCTACCTTCTCACTCAGGTTTCAGCAGAAAACTTGAGTGCCTCAGTTGAATTAGAACCTGCTAGTTCAGAGCCTGACAACGCGTCAGATCAACTGCTAAGACAACAGCACTGTTGAAGACAACAGCTCAATCCAACATCAGATGGCCACCACAGGCTCCCAACCCCCTGGAAGGGGCCGAAAGGACTGGCGATACCTCCTAACAAGACCAACTGACCAACCACGCGTCTCAATTGAGGAATTCAGAGAGGCAATCCACTCAGACAGCGACCGTGTTTATAATGAGTTGACGGCAATCTTTGATGGCATCTTTGACGATGAAAAAACATTAAGGGATATGATCACACGTCTGAGAATGGAATGGGACAACGTTACTAATCAGGCCGCTGTCAAGCAAAGCCAGATTGATGAGCTAATTGCTGAATGTGATGAACTTAGCCACATCCTGGTCCGCATGACAGTCAGCAACCAAGCAGCAAGTCGAGGCGTCACCCCCTCTGAGACTGCCAGGAGGTCTGTCAAGATTGATGACCCGAAACACCTCACTGACGGCAAGGAGCTGAAATTTGAACACTGGCTCTCCTGGATGAAGAACAAGCTCCGGGAGAATGCTGACCACTACCCTACTGAACGCATGAGAATAGCGTACATTGAAAACCGGACTGATGGGGACGCAGCACGTCACATTGCACCCCGTATGGAAGAGGACCACCCCGAGCAATATCAAACCGCAGAAGAGATGTTTGAGCACCTCAAGTCAATATATGAGGATGCTAACAAGCTGCAAAATGCCAAGGGTGATTATCGCAAGCTGATTATGCGCAATGGGGATAATTATCATGAATTTGTCACAAAATTTTTACACCTGGCAGGGGAGGCCAAGATTGCCAGGGGGGACTACAAGACAGACTTCAATGACAAGCTGTCCTTTGACCTCCAGAAGATGGTAGCAGTAGCCAATGCGACCACTGATACATATGCTGAGTTTCAGAAAATCTGTGTGCAGGCAGCTCACACCCTCCAGACAATCAATGCCACCCAGAAATCAAAGAGCTCGCGGGGAAATGGGCCTAATACCTTCAAACAGAACACCCTGCAGACTGCCAACAGTCAAACACCCCCCAGCATCTCTACAACAAAATCCCCTACTGTGAAGGAGGCCTTGAGCTCTCGTCCAGATATTCAGTGCTACTACTGTAAGGAAAAAGGCCACATTGCCAGGAACTGCCCTGCAAAGCAGAAGTCCCAGCAGGTGATTGCTGAGCTCACAGGGAATGATGCCCCTGAGCCTTCAGCAGATTCGGGAAAAGAGTGAGCCTGAGAGAAGACTCCACCTCAGGTAGTTCAACAGTCTGTGAGAGGTTTGAGATGAAGGACTTGATTGGGGGGAAAAGCTTTAATGTACCAATCAAATTAGCCTACAATGGAATTGCTACTTCTACAAATTCTCTTGCTGATACTGGAGCAAATGGTGCGAATTTTATTGATACCTGATATGCCATAGAATTGGCAAGATTCTTTGATAGGAAGTTTCAAGAACTCCCATTCAAATGCCGCATGAAGGGATACAATGGCGCCCCCGGCGGGGTGATAGACCGCACATTGACCCTAAACCTCTGGGTGGATGGCCGGAGATTTCAGAATGTCCCTCTGCTGGTAACAGACCTAGGCCAGCACCCTGTCATCCTGGGACGGAAGTGGTTGGCAGCACAGGATATATGGCTTGATGTTAAAAACCAACGCCTGGTTTGGCCGAGTGAACGGTCTATCCCTGAACAGGTGGCGGAGCCGATGTTGAAGATAGTACCCTGGTCAGTACTGAAGCGCCCAGACCCCAAGCCTGAGCATCAGGCGGATGTGGAACGAAGAGAGATCAAGCTGGATGAGGAGATCAGACAGGAGCATCAGGCTCAGCTCCGCAGATTGAAAGGGACCAGCTCAGTCGTGATGCCTGAGACGAGGCAGGGGCTGACCTGGGAGGAGACAGCACCACAGATGATGGATATGAACTTCATTGGGGCTGCTTCCTTCCATGGTTATATGAAGAACAAGAAGTCAACAGTCTTCATAACCAGTCTGTATGAAATTGATAAACAGCTTGAGGAGAAGCGGGGTTTAGTGGGAGCTGAGGATGAGTCTGATGAGGAGCTGATCAGCAACTTACCAGAATGGTTGAAAGGCCAGGAGGACTGCTTCTCAAAGAAAGCATCAGATGAACTGCCCCCCCTACAGAAGAATGTTGATTTTAAAATAGAGCTCCAGCCTGATGTTGACCTCACCCAGGGCATTGGACATGCGCCTCTATATAAGATGAATCTAGAGGAACTAGAGGCAGTGAAGACCTACCTTGAAGCCAACCTAGCAAAGGGTTTCGTCACCCCAAGTTCAGCCCCCTACGCCTCCCCAATCCTGATTGCCCGTAGTGGGAAGAAGCTACGATTCTGTGTTGACTTTCGCAAGCTGAATGCTATAACCAAACGAGATCAGTATCCCTTGCCCCTGATAGATGAGCTGATGGACTGACTCAATGGGGCGAAATACTTTACAAAGTTGGACATTCGGCAGGGGTTCCATCGCATCCGAATGGACCCTGAGTCTGAGGACCTGACCACCTTTAGAACCCGCTACGGGACCTATAAATATCGGGTGGTCCCCTTTGGCCTTACAAACGCCCCTGCCTGCTTTCAACGGTTTGTTAACAGTATCTTCTTTGACTACCTGGACAAGTTTATGACAGCATTCATGGATGATCTTCTAATCTATAGCAAGAATCTGGAGGAGCACAAGCAGCAGGTAAACTCAGTGCTAGACTGACTAAAGACAGCAGGTTTGCAAGCCAGCATCCAGAAATGTGAGTTTGCAGTCCAGAGGACAAAATACCTAGGGTTCATCATCAGTACAGAAGGGATTGAGGCAGACCCAGAGAAGACAGCTGCCATTGTGAGATGGCAGGCCCCCACCACAGTCAAAGGAGTCCAGTCATTCCTAGGATTTGGCAATTTCTACCGACGATTCATAAGGAACTACAGCCGAATCGCAAAGCCACTGTACCAGTTGACAAAGAAGACTATCCCATTTGTGTGGACATCAGAATGCAAATCAGCCTTTGAAAAACTGAAGAGGCAGCTGGTGGAGGCTCCGACACTGCGTTACTATGACCCTGAGTGGGAGACTCGTATTGAGACTGACGCCTCTGACGGAGTAGTGGCTGGGGTACTAAGTCAAAGATTTGAAAATGACCTTTGGCACCCAGTAGCCTTCTATTCAAAGACAATGAATGGTGCAGAGCTTAATTATGAAGTTCATGATAAGGAAATGCTGGCAGTAGTCCGGGCCTTACAAGAATGGCGGGCAGAGCTTGAGGGACTACAACGGAAGGAATGATTCAAGATCCTCACTGATCATCGTGCACTGGAATACTTCATGACTACCAAGAAGCTGAATGCACGTCAAGCCCGCTGGGCAGAGTTCCTCTCCCATTTCTACTTTGAGATCAAGTATCGACCAGGCAAGGCCAACCTGCTAGCAGACGCACTGAGCAGGCCTGAGCAGGTTAGAAGGCAACAGGACGGCCGTATGCAGATCCTCCTAGGACCAGAGACCCTTGACCCCCAGATCACTCCCTCTACAGACATTGCTAGCATCAACTCCTCAGAGAAAGAGAGCATTGCTGAATGCATAGTGTCTCTAAACAAGACAGCCACCTCAATTGAGCCCCTGCAGCAGCAGGCAGATGATGAGAATAGTCCCTATACAATGGAGGACAATGTGCTACAGTACAATGGAAGACTAGTGGTGCCTGTTCAGGAAAAGGAAACCCTGATAGCCAAGCTACTGCAGGAAATTCATGATCAAGCTTCAACAGCACACCCTGGAGGACGAAAGACCCTGGCCCTGGTGCAATCACGCTATTGGTGGGCCACCTGGCAGACAGACGTCCTACACTATATTCAGAACTGCCATGTGTGCCGGATCAGTAAAATTCCAAGAGATAAGACTCCTGGTTTGCTAAAGCCATTACCAATACCAGAACGGGCATGGCAGCATATTGCAATGGACTTCATGGACGTGCCGAAAAGCAAAACAGGTTATGATGCCATTTTGGTCATAGTATGCCAGCTAAGCAAGAAGACAATCTCCATTCCAACCACCCGGGGAGTTACAGCCCAGGAGCTGGCCCGACTATTCATTCGATTCTACTATTCATACAATGGGGCGCCTGACTCAATTGTCTCTGACCGAGGCCCCCAGTTCATATCAAGCTTTTGGGATGAGTTTACACAGATCCTGGGCATAAAACTGAAACTCTCAACAGCGCATCATGCACAAACTGATGGACAGACAGAAGTGGTGAATCAATACATTGCCACCTGTCTTCGCCCCTATGTCAGTTACTACCAAGATGACTGGGATGAGTGGCTGCCCATTATAGACCATGCCTCCGCAGCTACCCCAAATGCTTCCACAGGGATCTCCCCCTTCCTCGCAGCAAATGGATATGAACCCTGAATGTCATTTGACTGGCAACCACTGGCGGAGAAATTGGACATGAATGAGAAAAGAAATTGAGAAGCAGCAAGGAGCTTCATTCACTGAATGAGAGAGATCTGGAACCAGGCGAGTAAAGGCATAAGGACAGCACAGGAACAGATGAAGAGGCAGACTGACAAGCACCATTGAGAGCCTGACTTTGCAGTAGGAGATTTTGTTTATCTAACATTGAAATCATACAAGATGGATCGACCAAGCTGTAAACTGGCAGAGCAGAATGCCGGCCCCTTCAGAATCCTGGAAAAGGTGGGCAATGCCTACAAACTGGACCTCCCCATAACAATGAAGATTCATTCAATCTTCTCCCCAGACAAGCTACGCAAGGACTCCAGAGACCCTCTATCTGGCCAGACTATCAGACCACCAGACCCAATTGAAATAGATGGTGAGAATGAATGGGAAATAGATCGTATACTGGCCAGTCGAATAAGCCGGAGCAAGCTGCAGTATCGGGTGCGCTGGAAGGGGTTTGATGAGGATTCTTCATGGTACCCCGCTCGCGACTTCAAAGGATCACCACACGCCATACGCGACTTCCATGAGGCTAACCCTACAAAAGCTGGACCCCCAAGGCGACTAGATGAGTGGCTGAAGGCATGGGAGACAGACAGCTACCTGAAGGACGAGGTTGATGACGACCTACCGGCATGAGGACATGCCTGCCCCTAGACCGGGGGGTGATGTTAGGCTCAGCGTCCGACCGAGCCCGACCGAAGGCCGGTGCCCGGTTAGACCCGACGTCGGATTAAGCTCGGCGCCCGATTAGGCCTAATCCATATCACGTGACCACACGACCATGCAGGTGGTTATAATCCACGCAGGCCCCAGCACCCCCTTTCATCCCATCAAGCTTAGTATTTCGTTATATAGCAGTTAGCAACGCAGAGAGTTTCCTTCTTATGCAGCTCGCATTCGCTCCCTAACAGTAGCTTAAGTTTATCTCTGAGTTGAGAATAATAAGAACAAAATCAACTTCATAGTAGAGAGCTTACTGAAGCAGACATATATGCTCTTTAGTGATTCTGTATGACAGAAAAAGACTATGCAAAAGCTCAACAATCTATAACAGAGTAGAAGAGCTCTCTTCAACTTTCTGCTCAAATTTAATTAGCTACTGCTGGAAGCTGACAGTTATGAATGAAATGATCATGTTAAAGAAAGATATTTAAAATCCACTTTAAGCATAGAGATGAGAGAAGGCATGATGAGTGTAAGAGAATCATCTTTCTATGAGAATTACTGCAAGAAGCTTAGATTAGTTGATCATCAAATCTCTGAGTTTAAGACTTTAAGACAATGATCTAAATATCATAAGAGTAGATCTTCTTCAGATCATACAATGTCTAATTCATACTCTCTACTTATCATGCTATTCTCAATCAATAAAATCAGTCTCAAGCTTCTGCTGATGATCTGATGGATTTCTCTTCTGATGCTGTGATTTCAAGTGCTCATCACATTAAATTGATAAATCAGACAGAGATTAATTGAAGAAGAGAGCAAGATCTGTGTCTGAAATGCAGAGTTGGAGATCATATGATTAAGAGCTGTCTGTTTAAATCTCTCAGACACTCTGCCATCTTCATGATAGCTAAGATGATTCTCAAGCTGATATTGAATAATGATAATGTAAATAAATATGAGTGAGGATTCAGAAAAAAAAGTAGCTTCAATCAAAAGACACTGAAAGAAGCAAAATAAGAAGCTTATGAGAAAGCAATGAAGAAGATTTAAATCTAAGATGATATTCAAACCCTTCACTGTCAATGCTCTAGTAAAAAATGCCTTTTCAACTAGAGCAATGATAGACAGTTAATGTAATATCTATGATCTTATTTTTCAATTCTACATTAACAAGCATAAGCTTCTGTGTATTGAAATTCACTCTATTAAAATGACTGGCTTTGAAGACTTTATGAAACTCTCCACAAGCATAGTGACTGGCATTTGAATTGATATAGACAGTCATATAACTGAATGAGCCTTTCTCTACATGGTGAATGGGTTACATAATCATGATATGTATCTAGATGACCCCTGGCTGGCCCAGCAAAAGATGACTGTGATCTCTCATTGAAGAATTGTGAGATTTGAAGAGAGTGGCATAGAGATAGAGTCTAGTTCAAACACAAAAGCTGATGTGACTTCTATCTCTGCTGTAAGCTTCTCTAGACTTGTGAGCACTTGAGAGAAGTGAAACATTGAGATCTTCACTGTCAGTTTGACTGATATTCAAAAGACTCTAGAAGTGAAATCAAAGATTGATTCTAGAGAAAAGCTGTCTGAACATTATCATGAGTTTTTGAACATATTTGATAAGAAAGTTGCTGATGCTCTACTCTCACTTTGTGACTCAGATAGAGATCATGGAATTGAACTGATTAAAAAGACTGATGATAGCACAGAACAACTCTCTTGGAGCTCACTATATAATATATCTTGAGAGGAACTACTGACTTTGTGAAAGACTCTTACAGATTATCTAGATAAGAGTTTTATTAGAGTGAGCAACTCCTCTACAGCTGCCTCTGTACTATTTGTGAAGAAGTCTGAGAGTGGGCTAAGATTCTATGTGAATTATCAAACTCTTAACAAAATCATCTGAAAGAATTGATATTCTCTATCATTAATTAGTGAGACTCTACAGCAAATTGAATGAGCTAAATGATTCACTAAACTGAACATTATTGCAGCTTTTCACAAGATTCAAATCATGAAAGATGATGAGTGGATGACAGTCTTTAGAACTAGATACAGACTATTTGAATGGCTGATTACACTCTTTGATTTGGCTAATGCTCTGAGCACATTTCAAAAATATATCAACTAGGCATTGCATGGATATCTAGATGACTTCTACTCAGTCTATTTAGATAACATTCTGATATTTTTCTCAAGAAGCTTACAGAAGCATTGCAAGCATGTACAAAAGATGCTTATGTGTTTATGAGAAGCAGATCTGCAGGCAAATATCAGAAAGAGTGAGTTTGAGATGAACAGTACAAAATATCTTGAATTTATCATTGAAGCAGACAAGGGTATATGAATGAATCTGAAGAAGATTAAAGCTGTTTTAAAATGAGCAACATCTACTACTTTTAAAGATGTATAAGAATTTTTAGACTTTGTCAATTTCTATAAATGATTTATCAGAAATTTCTTAAAGATTGTTATTCTACTAACAATTCTTACATGCAAGAATGTTTCTTTTTTGTGGATGAGCAAGGCTGAAAAAGCTTTTAAGCATCTAAAATCAATGTTTATCTCTGCTTCAATTCTGCTTCAATTCAACTCTGACTGTGAGACTATATTGAAAACAGACTTCTCAGATTATGGCTCAGAAGAAGTGCTGCTACAATATGATGAGCAGAGCATTCTACACTCATGTGTCTTTTTCTCTCACAAGCATTCACCTGTGGAATGCAACTATGAGATTTATGATAAGAAGTTTTTAGTGATAATTGAGTGTTTAAAGAAATGAAACACTGAGCTATAAAGTATAAAGAAATTCAAGATTCTCACAGATCATAAAAATGTAGAATACTTCATGACTACATGCAGACTAAATGAAAGACAGCTATATTAAATGAATATTCTCTATCAATTCAACTTCAGAATTGATTACTGGCCAGGGGAGTTGAACACTGAATCAGACACTCTATCATGAAGAGAGTAGAACATGCCACAGAGTGCTGGTGATGAGAGAATCAAGCAGAGACAAGCTCAACTACTTAAGTTTAATATACTGACATGTGAAATAGAATTAATAGTGGCTGCTGTCAATGTGAAACCTGAGATGTCTCTTCAAACTCAGTGAAATGAGGTCTGCAAAAATGATAAGATTCTGCAGCATCTGAAGTAAACTCTTTGTGAGGGAAGATTCAGATTTTCTTCTGAACTCAATATTAAGGTCTTCATCTTTAAGTGCTATTTAAACAAGAATAGAGAGCTTCTCTTTTAAAATTGTAAGTGAGTGTCAGACTTTGAACCTCTTCAAACCATGTTAGTGCATAAGGCTCATAACTCATATCTTATCAGTCTCCTGGGTAAGAGCAAACAGTAGAAGTTCTAAGATGTGAGTTCTACTGGCTAGACTATGCCATCAATGTGAGAAGAATGATCAGAAACTGCCATCTTTACAGATCAAACATCACATGAAGAGATTGACATCAGAGACTGCTTAAGCCTCTTCTCATTTCTGAATGCATGTGGCAGGAGCTTTTCATGAACTTTATCTTGAACTTACTGATCTCTAAAGAATACATGAACATCATGATTATAATAGATAGACTGATCAAGAGAATTATATTAAAAGCAGTTAAGAAAACTGATGCAGAGACAGTGACTAAAGTGTTTCTTTACAATATCATTTTTTGACATGACATCTCTAAGATGATAGTATCAGATCAAGGATCAGCTTTCACAAGCATGTTTTGAATTTATATATGTAAGAAATTAGATATTAAGAGATGACTTTCTACAGTCTATCACTTAGAGATTGACAGAGCTACAGAGTGAATAAATCAGACTCTGAAAATCTATCTACACAAGTATGTTAGCTTTCAACAGAATGACTAGTGTGAATGACTCTCTCTAGCAGAGTTGATTATCAATAATAGAGATGCTGTCTCAACAGGTATAAGTCTGTTCTTTTTAACAATCTTTTTCACATCTTCTCTATTGATATAGCTGATGCACCTTCTGTTGAAATATCACATAATCTCATTGAGTTTGCAGATGATTATATGAGAAAGATCTACAAAGTATTGAAGTGAGCTCAAGTAAAATTGACAGATGCTCAGCAATCTTAAGAGAAATATGTGAATAGATGAAGAGACCCAGCTTCAAGCTTTCAACCTGGAGATAAGATCTGATTGAGCTTAGAGAACATGAGAACTAATCCTCTGTGCAAGAAGCTGAATGTGAAATACAATCAATATACTGTGCTAGAAAAGATAGAATTTCATGCTTACTAACTGAACATCTTATCTAGCATTCATAATGTCTTTAATGGAAAGCTTCTACATGCTGCAGTAATGAATCCTCTGTCTAGTCAGAGGCAAACTGACTAACAGCCATCCACTATAGAGATCTCAGAAGAACCTGAGTTTGAGATTGAGAAAATTCAAAATGAATGAATCTACTGAAGAGAAAAGCAATATCTTATTAAATGAGTAGATTGAGCTGAGTTTATGTAGAATGATATGAGTCTTCTATAAGAAGCAAAGACTTTGAACACTTGGAAGACCTCTCAGCAGACAAAATTAGGTATAAAGAGAGCTTTAAATAGTTGTAAAGACTCACAACAAAGAGGGAAAAAAGAAATATTATAAGAGGTTGAACTTCTAGATTCACTCTGGCTGGCTGACTCAGCCTAGCCATCATTTGCACATGCACACATGATCATGCTATGTGAGCTCACTTAAGCTCATGTTCTCATCTCATTCTTTTCTTCCCTTTCTCAAGCAATTCATCCTTATTATATAGAAGGACTAATCTCTAGTTCTTAAAGCTTAACCCTTTACAATAGCATATTAAGTTTAAAATACAGTTAGCTCAGAACAGCAATTCATTTTTTTTAATTATCAGAAAGACTCAGAATAATCATTTCATACTTTTAATTCTCTGAAAAAATCAAAAAAAAATGATAA